AATAAATGATGCTGAGACTCACTAAACACTATGAGACTTAAAATTTGAATATGAAATTAATACCAAAGGGGAAAAAAAAGTTCCCAGCCTTTCCCCTGATCTGATAGTTTTGCATTGAGAAAAAAAAAACAACTTCCTGCTTGAGAACAGAAGGCTTTGCTATCATTATTTGCATCTGGGTGACGTTTACACGTCCAGTTCCCAGCAGATCTCAAACTACGTCAAGCATCCAGTTTTCCACAGAAGCTAAAAGTGCCTCGGCTGAAAGAGGCTGATAGAGAGAAGAAAGATCAAACATCTCGTCACATTCTGAGCCACAGACAGTAAAGGAGACAAAACTGAGAAAAGGTGAGAATTTATTTGATAAGATTGTGAAGCAAATAATCAAATCCCTTGGTCTGGGTTGCATCTGTGGATGAAAACAGAGGAATTAGAACTAGAAAGAAAGAACGGTCAGTATAATTTATAATGTCATGGCAGAGTTTGGTGGACGGGGTTTGGGGTCTCCATTTTGTTACGTGCCGTCGCTTTTCCACTCTGCGAAACTTTTCCCCTTGAAACAAAAACATATGCTGGAGCAATGCATTGTGGGATCACCAACCCGTCCTTCAAGGCCGGAAGCCCAGCAGCATCAGAGCAGAGCAGGAAAGACTTCTTTCATGAGCAGAATGCCACGAGCCACGCCCTGCTGCACGCGAGGTTTGAATATCCAAATGATGAAATGGTTAAAATTAAATTCAATAAGCGAGTTGTGCTAGTGGAGCTCTGGCTGCTACGAAGGAAAGACATATAATCAACTGAGAGCTTGAAGACGGAGAGAATGTAAGTTACAGGTTCAGTCTGTGTCTGAACTTTTCTACTGGATAAATGATACATTTCACATCTTTACTCATGTTTTTAAATGTATTTCTGGGTAAAGAAAAGTGCTGAGTAGCGTGTCTCCAGTCTGTCTTGGTCTCTCATGGTTTCTCTGTCCAGTGGAGGGAGAGCTGCAGCTTTTCAGTGTTTCAATGTTCTTCATCCAACAGAGACAAACTGCTGGAGGAAAATAATTCATCTGACAGCAAAGATGCAGTGGAGTCTGATTCTGCTCTTCCTGATGGGTAAGTTGATCTGAAACACAACTAGACTCTCTGGTTTCTGTTAAGTTAAATCCTGAGGAGATCTGGACGACCTTTCACACAGAAATTAGAATTAGAACATTTGTTTTGGTTTTGCAAAGACAAAAAGTTTTAATATTTTTTAGGACTAAACACAGAAATATGTTTATTGCTCTCAGGTCAGTGTTGCTTCATTGACTGTCAGCTCTATGAGTTTCACTACATTAAAGAGGCAAAAACCTGGACTGAAGCTCAGCAGTACTGCAGAGAGAAACACACTGACCTGGTCACAGTGACTAACATGAAGGACATGAAGAGACTCATCAACATGTCAGATGGAGATATAAAGGAAGCTTGGATTGGTCTGTCTAATCAAACACATGGTACCAGAACATGGTACTGGTCTCTGCCTGGACTGGAGTTCAATGAAAGTGAAACAAAATGGAAAGAAGGAGAACCGAATGATCAAGGAAACGAAGGACCTGAGAACTGTGTGATTGTGGATGAACATATCAAATGGATTGACATCCATTGCAAAACTCCATATAATTTCCTCTGCTACAATGGTGAGATTAATCTAATTATCAATTATTTTTATGTGTGTTCTGTCCAAACAAGATGAATATAAATGTGTTTGATTACTTCACAGAAACCAACACAACCCATAAATATCACCTGATTAAAGAGTTGAAGTCCTGGCTGGAAGCTCAGAATTACTGCAGAGAGAAACACACAGACCTGATCAGTGGAATGAAGCAACTACAGGATGAAGAAATGAAGAAATTGATGAACTATGGATCTATTCAGGTATACTTTGGTCTGTTCAGAGACACCTGGAGGTGGTCAGATGGAAGCAGTTTCTCTTTCAGACACTGGAATCTACAGTTTAATAATGAGAGAATCAATAGTGGTCAATGTGTCATGACTGTGTTTAATGATGGAGGCAGATGGAGGAATAAGAACTGTGATGAAAGAAAACCCTTCATCTGTTATGATGGTGAGTTGATGTTAAAAAAATACTACAAGATTATGTCAACATCTGAACTGTGCAATTTCTAATTTTACGTGTTAATTCAGTTATTTCATAGATAATTTATGTGCATCGAGAAAAACTCCAAAATGTTTTATTTTTACCAGAGGTGGTTTAATGAACCCCATTAAAACCTCCTTCTTATTCCACCAAATGTTGATTTCTGGATTGTCCTTGAGTTAAAACATCAGTTTTGTTGTTAATAAATGATCATGAACTTGTAATAAAGATCAAATGCCACTTTGTACCTTTTATCAGATTTTTACACTTTTTTGAGGAATTTCTTTCTTTTTACTTCACATTAGGAATATGTTTTAAAGTAGTGCGTCTCTTACTGAGGACAATTTTTGTTTTTTCTACCACCTCTGATTTAGAACCAAAGACATGAATGTTGTTCTTGTTAAATTAGTTCATGGCCATTATTTTGAAAGCTACAGCATGTTTGTGTTGATCTTTTCGATGACAGATAAATCGATCCTGATCAAACAAAAGATGAACTGGGAGGACGCCTTGTACTACTGCAGAGATTATCACCATGACCTGGTCACCATCACCAACATGGACGATCAGAGATGGATCCAGGAGAAAGTTAAGAACGCATCGACTCCTTTTGTCTGGTTAGGTCTGCGCTACACCTGCACTCTGGATTTGTGGTTCTGGGTCAGTGATGAGGTGGTCAGCTATCAGAACTGGGCTTCAGATGAACCGATGGACGACTGTGACATGTCTGGAGCCATGGAGACGGGAGGAGATCATCAGTGGAGGAAGAAAAATGATACTGAGACGTTTAATTTCTTCTGTTCTAAAAATTAAAATCTTTTATTTCAGTTTTGCCTTTTGCTACATGCTTCAGTTGAATTAAGGCATTAAACAATCCAAATTTGTATATAATAATCATTTACAACAAACTATAAGCCTAAATGTTACGTTTTATGTGAGTTTTGCTTGGAAAACAGATTTTCTTGATATCTTTCAAAACAAAACATTAAGACCACACCTTGCGTTAAAAATGTTTTTCCTTTATTGGTCTGATGTAATGTTCTTATCTTAATTGTTTTGGTTATTCTGGCTGTAAGTGGAGTGTCATTATAATTCACAGAAAATAAATGTGTGAAGACCTTAGTGTGTTTGTATTTAATCTGTGTGTAATTTGTCCAAAGAACCAAGCAAAAACCAGAAACCAGCAACAACTTTAGCATAATTCAACACAGCAACAAAACTTATAAACACCAAATCTAAAGTCACCAAAGTAGACAAAGTGACTCATAACCAACAAGAAATAAAGTAACAGAACACACACACACACACACACACACATGCATTTGTAGAGGTGCCTCTGTGCTCCACTGAGTTCAGTTTGGCTTGGAGAACTCAGCTGATCAGAGAGACGTTGGGCCCTCCCACCTTCTTCAAATCTTAGGAAGTTGGTGTCAAATGAGCGTGCCACATTTGTGCTGACAAGGTTTTCGTTTGTGGCGCTATCATTGTTACAGGTGTTGGTAAAAAAGTTTCCAGAGGATTGTCAGAGGTCATTGTCACTGTCTTCAATAGTAGAAGGAGCAAAAACAAAAATTATTGCTGCACAAACGGACCTGAGTTGATTGACATTCAGATTTATTAGACTTTGTAAATGTGACTCTGGGTTGACCTCTGTTGACCTCTGTAAGCTTTTTCTTTTCTTTTGAAAACAAATATCTATATCTTTATAATGAAAGCAACACACACACACACATATATATATATATAAAACATCCAGAAAATCTAGCACGACGTCTGGACACAAGCCACCTATGAATGAGGCCTGGTTATAGTTTGTATTTCCTGAAACCTGAACTGTTACATATTCTGCTTCCTGGAATCAAACAAATCAGGGAAGCTGTGAAGAAACAAGCGTTGTCAGAAAAAAAAAAAAAAACACCTGGGAAAGAAAAGCAGCAAGTTATTTGCATCCACACAAAGATGACACAAAGCAGCTTACGCTAAAGTCACATTTAATAAGGTCGACACTTTCACATGTATCTCTCCTCACACTTGAATGTTTCATCATATACGTAAACATGCCGGTTTTCAGCTTTGTTCTTCTGAGATCTATTCTTTCCATGCTGCTTTGCTTGCTGTCCTGTCTCAGTCTTCTCATCCAGATCAAGCTAAACTCACTCAGCTATTTACAATCGCCACAGATCCATATCTTCCTTATAGACACATAAACGGCAAAAGTCCTCCCACTAAAATAAAATTGAGTTCAAAAACCGGAAGCTAACGAAATAAAGGCAACAACAGATAAGGAGCTTAATGTGGGGTTATTTACCGTCTGACAGTCAGAATGAAAATGAACGCCTGGCGTTTGCTTACTGTGTTCACATCCTGTTATTTTAACTCGGTAAGCAAAACAGTATTTTTTTTTTTCAAGCACCTATAACTGCGGCGCTCTTCTGTCAGTGCGGTTTGGTCGTCTCGGTTCCAGAACCAGCAGTAAACAACGTTTTGATTGAGATGTGTTTACATGACTTTTTAAGCTCCACCATGTGTTAGAATCAGAGATTAATTCTTAATCACTGGCAAAAAAAAAAAAAAAAGGGGTTGGGAAAACTGTTTTCACAGAAGTTTGTACACATTTGTGTTGTTGATTTATTTGCATTGCTCTTACAGCAGCATAAGAGATTTATCCTGGAGGCATGTTGGACTTGTTCTGAACAGAAAAGCTGCTCTGCAGCCTTCGTGGGGTCTGTGTGCATTAAGCTCATTTGCTTAATACATGTTCCTATGCAGCTGCAAAGTTCCCCGCCTGCTGCTGTTTACTCAGGATGATTTGCATTCTCAGGTCCTTTCTCAGGAATCATAAATGTTTATGCTGGAAATTACAACACTGTCTCTGTCCTGAAATCCAAGTATAAAGTCTTTTAGAACTGGAGAGCCGAAGGATGAGACAAAGTCAGGTTTGTTTAATTCTTTTCATATTTTTTTTCATTTGCTTGAGGAACCACAAAACTCATTTTGTGGTAAATTTCTGCAGGATTCATGTGGTTTGTTTCTAAGTCAGATTAGGATAAGAAATTCAAGAATTTTCACAAAGTTCTCAGATGAAAAGCTTACTGGGACTAACTGTCCAACATGGGGGAATATTTCAATAGACGTTAAAAAGACGGTCGATAAACTGAATGCAGATGACATAAACTTCAACTCCATGATGATCAAAATATTGTGAAATGTGGATTTTTTTTATTTTTATTTTTTTACTGACAGTAAAGGAGTTAAAAAGTCATATTTCTTATGATGTGATCATCTGTAAAGATCTTGGAAATAGTTTCTTTACCTGATGTAGAAAGATCATATGATAGTTATAGACGTAAACACATTCTCAGAGTGATGAAAGTTAGAAAGTGATATAATCCTGAGAGTCAATATAAATAATAAATTGACCTTACTGTATTGTTTGATAACTGGGATCAATTGAAATGTATGCAGGATTGAATTTTAAGGATTTTCTTTCATTTCTGTGTGTTGTGTCCATTTTCTTCAACAGAACTGTGTTCTGTCTTGTGAATTGTGCAGTGAAGTGTTTATATTTTAATCATTTTTTTCCCTCTTTCTGAATTGACCTGTCTTAGTATCAAGGGTGATACTAAGACATCCTTTGACATATCTTTGATACTTTTATTGTAATGAAAATGCCCGTCACCTGGTTTGAATATTCACATATTCAAATGTATCTGCTGTTTCAAGAGCTGTTATAGAAACACATCAGTGCAGACTGAGGAAGCTTTTTATGGCTGAACCTCGAGAGACGATATCCCACAAACTGAGGAAACAAGGATTCAGATGTAAGTTTAAAATTAAATTCAATAAGCGAGTTGTGCTAGTGGAGCTCTGGCTGCTACGAAGGAAAGACATATAATTAACTGACAGCTTGAAGACGGAGAGAATGTAAGTTACAAGTTCAGTCTGTGTCTGAACTTTTCTACTGGATAAATGATACATTTCACATCTTTACTCATGTTTTGTCATGTATTTCTGGGTAAAGAAGGGGCTGAGCAGAGTGTCTCCAGTCTGTCTTGGTCTCTCATGGTTTCTCTGTCCAGTGGAGGGAGAGCTGCAGCTTTTCAGTGTTTCAATGTTCTTCATCCAACAGAGACAAACTGCTGGAGGAAAATAATTCATCTGACAGCAAAGATGCAGTGGAGTCTGATTCTGCTCTTCCTGATGGGTGAGTTGATCTGAAACACAACTAGACTCTCTGGTTTCTGTTATTTTATTGATAGTTAAATCCTGAGGAGATCTGAACGACCTTTCACACAGAAATTAAAATCAGAACATTTGTTTTGGTTTTGCAAAACAAATGTTAGGACTAAATACAGAAATATGTTTTTGTTTACAGGTCAGTGTTGCTTCATTGACTGTCAGCTCTATGAGTTTCACTACATTAAAGAGGCAAAAACCTGGACTGAAGCTCAGCAGTACTGCAGAGAGAAACACACTGACCTGGTCACAGTGACTAACATGAAGGACATGAAGAGACTCATCAACATGTCAGATGGAGATATAAAGGAAGCTTGGATTGGTCTGTATGATCAAACAAATGGTACCAGAACATGGTACTGGTCTCTTACTGGACTGGAGTTCAATGAAAGTGAGACAAACTGGAAACCAGGAGCACCACTGGATGACTGGTATTTCAACTGTGGAATGTTGGGGCTGAATACCAGATGGTTAAATGTTTACTGTAGATATCCTTACTTCTTTCTCTGCTACGATGGTAAGATTGAAGTCTTTTGTTTGAAATATCATTTATCTTTTAAAATATATGTAGAGTATATAAACATCTTTTTTTTTCAAATCTACAAATGCACACACATCTGAATGGAGAACAAACTTAACATTTTTATTATCAAAATTTCATTTATCTTTGATAATAAAACCTGTTAAGAAACTTTTCACATTCATGGAAAAAATGTTGTAATCCAATGTAAATATTTTTATTATAAGACCTCCACTAATGAATGTAATTTTCCATGTTCTTTTTACAGCCCCACATAACTTGACACATCCAAGAAATATCATGTTTTGTGTAGAATTTCTTTTTTTAACATGTCATAGACGTTTCAAGTTTTAAATCAGAACTCATATAACAAAACTAACAAAACCGAATCAATCATATCAAATTAATATTTACAAAAAATAAAGAAAAACTATAAAGCTTCTTTATTAAATGTTTTTTCTGAGAATACTTCTCAAAAGTCATGTAAAGATAATCAGATCTGTTCACTCCACAGAAACTAATAAAACCCATAAATATCACCTGATTGAAGAGTTTAAGACCTGGCGGGAAGCTCAGAGTTACTGCAGAGAGAAACACACAGACCTGATCAGTGGAACGAAGCAACTACAGGCTGCATTGAATATGACTTTCTACAACATGTCACTAGATGAATATATATATATGTATTACAAATATATGTACATTGGTCTGTTCAGAGACACCTGGAGGTGGTCAGATGGCAGTAATTCCTCCTTCAGACCCTGGAATCTACAGTTTAATAATGAGATAATCAATAGTGGTCAATGTGTCATGACTGTGTTTGATGATGGAGGCAGATGGAAGAATGAGAACTGCACTGAAAGAAAACCCTTCATCTGTTATGATGGTGAGTTTTTGCTGCAGTAATGTAGTACTGTAACATAAAACTCTACATTCTTAATGAAACATCATTTAGGAAAATAAACTTTATTACTAGAGAAAACGTATATTTTTTAATAATGTAACCTTTAGGTTACATTATTGGTAAGCTTATGGTGAATCTTATCATTGGTGGTTTAACTAATTATATTATTACATAAATTTAGTGAAATAAAGGTCCTTGATACTTTTGAAACTTCTTTTTTGTTGCATTAATTCTGATTGAAGACTTATAGTTTTATTCTTTATATTTTATGTACTTTCATGCCAGATAAATTGATCCTGATCAAGGAAAATAAAACTTGGCATGAGGCCTTGACCTACTGCAGACAGAACCACCATGACCTGGTCACCATCACCAACATGGATGAACAGAAACAGGCCCAGGAAAAAACCAAGAAGGCATCGACTCCTTTTGTCTGGATTGGACTGCGTTTCAACTGCAGGATGAATGTTTGGTTCTGGGTTTGTGATAACTGGGTCTGGGACGGTCAGAGTGATGAGTGCAACATGTTTGGAGCCATGCAGGCAGGAGGAGAGCATCGGTGGTTCCAAAGAAACGGCAGCGAGAGATTTAACTTCTTCTGTACTAATTAATAATTCTTCCTCTTCTTTTTATTATCAGCTTTTTTCTCTTTCTGCATCATTTCAGTTGTTATTTCAATTTTGCCAAGGAATGATCTGTTAAGCAGAATTTCAGATTGCATTTAGATTGTATATTATTTGCATAAAACTTTGCTGTGATTTAAAACAATAAGATCTCAATAAATCATTTGAAAATTTTTCCACATGTTGAGACATTTTATTCTGTAAAATTAAACTGAAAGATATTGGGAAGATGGAGATGGAATAAAAAGAGGCCAATTTTTGTCCACACTCTCACACTAGTATTGTTAAAAAACCTTTCATTCAATTTCATTATTACATTTCCAAATTCACCGGATTCGTCTTTCCCACTTAGAATTGTCAGATATTTGTAGATTTGTATCCTTTAATTGAACTCATAAGTTACATTTCTGGTGAGCTGTACTTCTTCTGGTTGGTCCATCAAAACCACCTCTAACACCAAAGATACACACCCACACACACACAAACACACACACACACACACACACACACACACACACGCACACACGCACACACACACACACACGCACAAACCTTTTGTATTTCTACAAAAACGTAAGACTTTTACTTTTAGAAGTTTAGTATCTACATTTATATCTAACCCAGACATTTTCACAAACCCTCACCATTACTAGTGTTTTCCTAACACCAACTTTAACCAAATGTAATTCTAACCTAACCAGAAGAAGAATTTAAAAGGATCCGATGGATGGTGGCAAAAAGAGCAGTGTAGAAGTAAAAAGTCCAGCTGATGCCTACAGAGAACCTGAACAACCCAAAGAACCCAGAGAATCCTCGGTTGGTGACAGTGGATGACACACAGCCCATGGAGGTGGTCTGCCAGTGATTGAAAGACTGATTGATCGGCGTAAGCTCTCTCGCTGATCTCAATCATCGCTGAGTGTTTGATCTGCGGAGCCTCTTGAGGGGTTTAACGAAATGCCAACAGAAAAACATTTGGAAGCAAATATGAATGTGCAAAATCACAGAGGAGGCCAAAACAGTCCCCAAACAGACAGACAGCCAGCAGAGACGCTACATATTCAAACAACGATTATAAGGGAAAAATCATCATTTTTTTTTTGTTGCAATTTTCAGGTTTATATGAGTGTGAGGGTGTGAATACTTTTGCAATCTAAATTCAGACACATTATATGTAAATATTGCCCCCCCCCACCCAAAAAAAAAAAGATCCACATAAACTGCTTGTACACCAACAGAGACAGTGTAGCAAACAGTATAACATTCCAAGATGAAGGAAAATAGGTCTGTTACACTCATTTTTGGTTTGATTCTTAGCTTCACCGCACAGTCACATCTAGATATGGAAAAAGTGTGAGTCACAAAAACAACAGACGCTTGGATGTGAACTCAGAACAGCATTCTGGGAGATGCAAACAGAGGAGACATTTTGGCACTTCCACTTTGCTCTCTTTGGTTACCTAGCAACTCAGGCATTCTTGGTTACCTAGCAACTCAGGCATTCTTTGGTTACCTAGCAACTCAGGCATTCTTTGGTTACCTAGGAACGACCAGTTGAGAAGTTGCGCAGCAGCAATTTCTTGTTTTGCCGCTTTGCCTCATAACTTGTTCAAAATAATAATAATAAAAAAAAAACAAAACCACGTGGAGAGAAAGCTGGATAAAATAGGACAATTCACACCAGCAGTTTGTTAGTATTTTGGATAATTAAAACAAAAGACTAATCAATAATTACCAATATCGACAGTTATTATAATAATATACTTTCTTGATCCCCTAAAGGGAGTAAATGTGGTTTGTCAAAGCACTGCACACAATAACAACAATAATAATTGCATATTTAAATGCATATTTTCCTTTTGGAGCAGTACTTAAAGTAGGTGGTGAATAGAAAGGGAGACAGTACAGTTCCCCGTGATGCGTATCCACGGCAAACGGTGTTATTTTTACTAGTGGGAGACGATAATCATCATCTCAAAAGTTAAAATAGTGAACTACTGCCACCTGTACAACAATCATAAATCTCATGAGAGTTTGGGGAAACACAGCAGAGGAAAGGTGAAAGTTCTTCCATTATTTTGTAATGGGCAAGAATCATATCCCCAAGTCCAACATCTTTCTGCCCAGCTTAAAAAAAACAAAACAGTCAGATATATTTACAAGGAAGCAGCAGTAGAGACAGAGGAGATTGATTTACTAGTTCATTACAACAACCAATGGTCTCATCCAAGATTAGTGGTGGGACTTGTTCTGAACAGAAAAGCTGCTCTGCAGCCTTCGTGGGGTCTGTGTGCATCAAGCTCATTTGCTTAATACATGTTCCTATGCAGCTGAACACAGTTCCCCTCCTGCTGCTGTTTACTCAGGATGATTTGCATTCTCAGGTCCTTTCTCAGGAATCATAAATGTTTATGCTGGAAATTACAACACTGTCTCTGTCCTGAAATCCAAGTATAGAGTCTTTTAGAACTGGAGAGGCGAAGGATGAGACAAGGTCAGATTTGCTTCGTCCTTTTCATATTTTCTTCAGTCGCTTGAGGAACCACAAGACTCATTTTGTGGTAAATTTCTGCAGGATTCATGTGGTTTGTTTCTAAGTCAGATTAGGATAAGAAATTCAAGAATTTTCACAAAGTTCTCAGATGAAAAGCTTACTGGGACTAAATGTCCAACATGGGGGAATATTTCAATAGACGTTAAAAAGACTGCTGCCCTATAAGAACAGCACATATTACATCCTTCTCCAGATACACAGGTCCTTTTGTGCTCTATTATTTTTTTCTTTCTCCGCCTGGTTAATGAACAGTTGTAATAAAATGACCGTCACCTGGTTTGAATATTCACATATTCAAATGTATCTGCTGTTTCAAGAGCTGTTATAGAAACACATCAGTGCAGACTGAGGAAGCTTTTCACAGCTGAACCTCGAGAGACGATATCCCACAAACTGAGGAAACAAGGATTCAGATGTAAGTTTCAGAAACGTCCAAATCCTCTGAAGAAGTTTATTTCTTTCATTTCTATGTTGATGAACTAAAAAGTTGAGTTGAGTGTCTCCAGTCTGTCTTGGTCTCTCATGGTTTCTCTGTCCAGTGGAGGGAGAGCTGCAGCTTTTCAGTGTTTCAATGTTCTTCATCCAACAGAGACAAACTGCTGGAGGAAAATAATTCATCTGACAGCAAAGATGCAGTGGAGTCTGATTCTGCTCTTCCTGATGGGTGAGTTGATCTGAAACACAACCAGACTCTCTGGTTTCTGTCAAATTATTGACTCAGCTAGATTCAGCAGAGATGTTATAAGGTAGATATTACCCATTTTGTTATTATTTTATATTTAATACACTATTATGTTTTGCTTTTGTAGGTCAGTGTTGTTTCATCACCTGTCAGCTCTATCAGTATCATTACATAAAAAATGAAAAGACCTGGACTGAAGCTCAGCAGTACTGCAGAGAGAAACACACTGACCTGGTCACAGTGACTAACATGAAGGACATGAAGACTCATCAACATCTCAGATGGATAAGAGAGAAGCTTGGATTGGTCTGTATGATCAAACACATGGTACCAGAACATGGTACTGGTCTCTGCCTGGAGTAGAGTTTGATGAAAGTGAGACAAACTGGGATGAAGGAAAATCGACTGATCGAGGAAATGATACATCTGAGAACTGTGGGATTCTGAATGGCATAAAATGGGAAGTTATTCGATGCAATACAAAAAGAGCTTTCCTCTGCCATGATGGTGAGTACTAATAAAACCCAGAATGTAATATCTGTAAGTGATCTAATAAAACGGTCTGGATTAAATATTATTGTTTTTTTTAACATTTTGATAAAAATATTTCTTGCAAATTTGGCAGAGTGGAACAAAAACATCCAACTCAACCTTATAGACACATTAATTAGCATCTCTGACAATTACCTTATATTATGCTGGTCTAAACAAAATCTGAATGGTGGCAAATATTCTTCTGTTAACCTCCTAGAAACCAAAAAGACCTATAAATATCACTTGATAGAAGAGGAGAAGACCTGGCTGGAAGCTCAAAGTTACTGCAGAGAGAAACACACAGACCTGATCAGTGGAACGAAGCAACTACAGGATGAAGAACTAAAGGAAGTGATGAGCCCAAATTATAAACCATACATTGGTTTATTCAGAGACACCTGGAGTGGTCAGATGGAAGCAGTTTCTCTTTCAGACACTGGAATCTAGAGATTAATGATCATCAACCCAACAGTGGTCGATGTGCCATGACTGGGCTTCATGATGGAGACAGATGGAAGACTGACTCCTGTGAAGAGACTAAACCTTTCATCTGTTATGATGGTGAGTTTTTATGAAAGATCTGCTGTTACTTAATACCTTTCAATCTCCCTTTAATTCTAAAAAAAAAACTAAAACAAACCCCTGTCTTTATTATTTTATAGTGTTTATAACAAAAAACTTTTTCTTCAACACTTGGCAAATCTGTTTAAAATATTGATCTCGCATTTACACTGTTGAGATGTTAAAGCTGCATTAATAATTCATATAGACTTCTCAAATCAGACACAAGCACTTACTTTATTTTTTAGAATCTTGCATGCGCTACATCTGGTTCAGAATGATGCTGATGCTGAAGGGACGTTCTGTGTTTAAAGTCTTGTTTGCAGAGGATAACGTGATTCTAGTCAAAGAGAAGATGAACTGGGAGGACGCCTTGTACTACTGCAGAGATCACCACCATGACCTGGTCACCATCACCAACATGGATCAACAGAAATGGATCCAGGAGAAAGTCAAGGAGGCATCGACTGGTTATGTCTGGATGGGTCTGCGCTACACCTGCACTCTGGATTTCTGGTTCTGGGTCAGTGATGAGGTGGTCATCTTTGAGAACTGGGCCAAAGGTGAACCGATGGACGACTGTGACATGTCTGGTGCCATGGAGACGGGAGGAGATCATCAGTGGAGGAAGAAAAATGATCTTGAAGAGTTTAATTTTCTTTGTACTAAGGATTAAGCACTGCTTTTTCCCTCTTCGTCCTCCAATCGTTAAATTATTATTATTTTTTTCATTTATGTCAAATAATTACTTGGAGTATACATTTTCTTTTTAGACCAAACTTCAGATAGCTCTCTGAAGATGTTAAGATTTCGTTTCTTCTGCATAGCCTCTCCTCTCCAGGTAAATGTAACATTACATAAAAAACTAACTTACTTGATGACGTAAATCATGTTTTTGTTCAATTTATGTGATTTTAATGAATAAAAATGCTGCACCACGCCGCCGTCTCATCTCCTGTGTTTCAACATGTTGTTGTTACACGCGAGAAAAAATTAGATGAATAAGTGAAATAAAACAACCTTTCACTGTGTGGGATTAACGTTTGCTCCATTCATCCAGGGGAGCTGGTGTCTATCTCCACCTGTCGTTGATCGAGACAGGCATCCGATCAATCAAATTCCTATTCCTCCAATAGAAAATAAAACCTTCTAAAAATGTGTTGTGGTGTTGATGTGTGGATGGTTTCACCCGGTTCCCTCCTCTGCTGAAGGACCGAAACCAAACAATAAAATGGCTGTTCTGTGAAAAAACAAGACGTAGCTTCTTCCTTCTTATCACACCAGGCAAGACCTGTGATATAGTCTAAGGTAGAAATGATTCAGTTTACTTTAAACAAAGGCACAATGCAAATTAGACATGTGCATGTAAACACATAAGATCACAGCCAAACTTCTACTTTCTATAGTCCCACTGGTAGGCTGGTAATAATAATAATAATAATAATAATAATAATAATAATAATAATAATAATAATAATAATAATAATAATAATAATAATAATAATAATAATAATAATAATAATAATAATATGAAGAAGGAAACACTAAAAAATAATAAGCAAAAAGAACAAATAAATGAAAAAATAAAAGTGAAGTAAAATAGACAATAAAACCTAATGGAACATGTTGAAATATAGTCATGCTAATTTGGCCTTCCAGGCTCCCATACGTTTTCCTCCGGGATTGTTTTTTTCTATGACCTTTGACCAGCTGCTATGTCCCTGCTGGAAAACATCACCCTAGCAACACTCACTTCACTTCATTACAGTTTATTTATACATCAACCTGAGTTTATTTCTGAGCTCTGGAAGTTAAATGCTCTTCTACCTTTTTTTTTCCTTCTTCTTCTTCAACCTGGTATAATTATGTCTTTTGTTCTATGTTGCATTTCAAAATGTTTAACCTTAGTTAGTAGCACGGCAGTGGCTGTGTCATGTTGTGGGGCTATTTGACTGTAGGAGGAACTGCTGCATTTCACCAAATATCTACAATCTTGCCTCACTTACATGGAGGACCAAAGCTGACATAATAAGAAATAAGAGCATAAGTATACATCTTGTTTTTCCTTGTCCTTAGACATGCGTTTATGCTTTTATTTTTTACCATGTCAGTTCTGGTCCTCCATACGCTTACACAAGTCAGGAGGAATAGCGGGTCTTGTGTGCTTTTCCCATGTGAACTTCAACTTTCAGCTGTTTATCTAGTTCTTATCGCCTATAAACATGTATCAGATTTTTTGAACTTTATCTCCTCCGGTCACTTGTGGCCTGTTTTATCTTTTATCTAATCTATTCTTCCCTGTTTGTGGCTCCCATCAGTCACTCCCCCCTTGACCTGTGTCAATCAATGCACGAAAAACAAAACGCTTCCGGGAGAGCCGTTAGGAAAAGCGCGATGTTTGTGCGGTCACGCTTTATTTGACGGGGTGTGCTTAAGACTGACATGACACCTGTCATGAACACGAAGGAGTCTTTATGAACGTCTGTGACTGTTGTCTTAAAGTGTCACTCGGTAAATAACGACTCTTTTAATGCAAAGTTGCGCTAAAAGTTGCATTGAATATTTTCATGGACACACCGTCAGATACGGTGTTCACGTTTGTTCTATAATCAAAGTTTTTATCTTTCGGTGGCAGGTGCTCGCTCTGCAATTGGTGGGTCATCGGTTCTATTCCTGCTTGGTCCACCCTTGTTGTTTGTGTCCTTGGGCAAAACACAGTAATAAACACAGGAAGCTCACGTGCTCAATATCTAGACTATATTATATGGTATAATTAAGTAGCAGACTCTGAACTTTGAATTAAGTCATAAAACGTCTGAAGAAAAACAAATCTGAGAGCCATAAGGAAGAGTATAAAGTTTATTCTGTAAAAGCAGTTTTTATTATTCAAGAAGCTTTAATATTGTAACACAATCTAATAATTAACTAAAAACGTGTATAAATAGGTCGCTTTTCACAGGCCTTCAACAGTGTTCCTGAAGAAGACGCACATATATCAAAGAAGAATGGCGTTTCCATCAGTGATGCTTCTCATGTGTCTGGCTGTTGGGCTGTCCACCTGCCGGGCAGAAGGTGAGGACAATCAGATTCAGGTCCCTGAGACCACAGGGGACGAGCAGGAGAATCCCCTGACAGAGACGGTCGCAGAGGACACAGAAACCCCCGATCAAGATCTTCAGACAGTCACAGTCGAGCCATCCAACTCGGGATCCCCAGAGAAAGCATGTGAGCCAAACTTCTACCTGGTAATGAAGGAGCTTGGAGTTCTGCAAGAGAGGCAGAAAGCCACTGCGAGGGCCCTGGACGAAACCAACAGGAAGCTGGAAGCCAGCGAGAAGAAGATCGCCGACCTTAACAGCACTCTGACAGAGATGAGAACTTACGAAGGTAACGGAAGACGACATTCATTTTAAATCACTTTAGAAATTTGTTTGCTACATATTGCCAAAAACAGGGCGGCTTCCAGCTGTTTCGTTCTATTGTTTGTTGACATAACAGCAAATTTCAATGGGCCATTTATCTTATCCTCTATTGTTGCTCATAGATATAAAGACAATAAATTATTAGAGCTATTTTGTCTTTACACGACTCTAGTCTTTTGTTAGAAGACAATGTGAGTTGTGTACATGCTTTAGATCAATAATATCCTGCTTCTGTTTCAATACTTCAAAAATAAATACATGATTATAAAAGGGTCATTTATGTTTATGTTAAAAAAAAATCTCAATTTTTTCAATAGTATAACTGGTGTTGAATAGTTAATTACACTTTGAGAGAGAATCCCTGTTAATCTGCTGCATTCACTCTCTAAATTGCAAAGATGTTTTCTGACTTACTTTTCTGTTTTCTTCACTGTGTTTAAACTTCAGAACAACGCCAGGTTGCATTTTCTGCGGCGATGCCAACAACAGACATTACAGGTCCCGTGAATGTTCTTTACTCTCTGGTATACAAACACGTTCTGTCCAACATCGGAGGCCATTACAGCCCAGTGACAGGTCAGTGTTGGTCTCTCTGTGTCATCTGTTGCTATGTGTACATACACAAAACATGTTTGGTGCCAGTGAAGGGGGATTATAACGTAAGGATTTATAGTTTGCAGTTTGTCTGAACAACAAGAAAGCTTTTGTTTTTCAATTTAACTTATGAAAGAAGTTAAACGATGAGTTAAAAACAAAGAAAAGATTTAATACAATTTAAAGGGAAATATAAGGAGATCATTTTGACAAGATGTAAAAATATGGCTGGGAGTTTGGACTAATGGTGAATGTAAGTTGAGGCTAACGCATACGAGTGTGTTATGAGAGGTTGTGGATGTATATATTCAGACATAATTAAACCCAGATAAAATTAATTAACCTATGTCTTATCGCTTATCTTTTATTATTTAATAATGAGGGCCCATCTGAAAATATATTAGTTTATGGGATAGTTTATAAGTTTCTTACTTCTTCCTACTCCCTTTCATTTTCATTGTTTTGTGTTTTTTGCATTCCCTGTTCATGTGTTATTTTTTATACTTCTATTATGTTAGAAATAAATAAAAATAAGTAAATAAATAACATCCTTGAATAGAAAGCCATTGTTTTAAAATCCAAGAGATATCCTTTCAACAGGTTTTCTTGGTTCCTTCTTGCAGCAGAAATATCTGATCGCTTTTCTTATTGCTATTCTCTGCAGGATACTTTACGGCACCAGTGAGAGGAATTTATTACTTTTCTTTTTCTTCATTTTGTTGGGGGGGTGATGGAACATCTGGAGGAAGTCTTTACCGAAACGAAAACCAAGTTGTGTCATGGTACGGTTACAGTAAAAATCACCCCATTTCTGGCTCTAACAGCGCCATCTTGCTGCTGCAAGTAGGAGACATGGTCAACGTCCGCCTCTGGGACAAGAGTAAAATAAGTGATAATGGAAACAAGTACTCCACATTCAGTGGATTTTTACTGTCACCAATGTAAACATTTAGAAAACAGAAACTGCTATTTGTGTGGAAATTGTAAATATTTTTTCTACTGTCACTTTCAGACAATTTTGGATTAATATGTCCTTGTATGTTGGAAAGGTGACAACACACCTTTGTAAGACATGTGTTATTATCCAATTAAATGTACATTCATCGTTTGAAACTAAAATTTGAAACTGAATTTTGCATTAATTGTCCGGTTTCAAGATGGTGAAACTTTTAATCACACAATGTTCTCCATGTCCCATAACATTCTCTATAAATAAAGAACATTTGCAAGACAACTGTTGTTTTTCTTCCTGTCACTTTAAACAGAATATGTGTGTTCAAACCTGCAAATACATTGAGGTTTGAATGTTGGTTTAACTGGTATGGAAAAGTGAGAATTTCACTGTACATTATAGTGATAAACAGTTAATAAAATTCTGTATATAAAGTTTTGCTTTTAGGTCAATGTAGTCAAATACAGACTTGGTTCAAAATGATTAAAATTCCAGTGCTAGACATGCATAGCCTAAATGTAGTAACCAGATAAACTTTTGTATTTCCCAATTTCCAACACTTTGTGTTACATTGACTTTGCAATGACATCAAAACCAAAGATCGTGTTCGACATATACATGAATCTCAATTAAAGACAGTGTGAACACATAACGTGTTGCTTAAACTTTTACCATTTACTAACTTTTCTTGTAAGTACTTTGGAGTAAAAGCACTGATATGACAAGAAAACTAATGAGAAAGAAAAATCCATGCATGTTTTGATTATCTGCTGCTAATATATAATAACAATTAGAACTGTAATACATCAGTAGTTCTTTCAGTAGTAATGTCCTAAAATACAGCGGGCATTTCAATTACCATTATACCGAACTTACAAAAAAATCATCAGAGAAATTAGAAGGTTACAAAAATAAAAAGAAATGAGCTGGCTTTTCTCTGTGACGGAAGCATTCAGCTTTAGCTAATGACATTTCCTGCAATTTGTCAATTAAAAACATTAGTGACAAATTAATGACTATAAAAAACTGAAGATTATTCAACATTTACTTCATTGAAATGTGAAATTCATCTTTTTAAGAGGAAACATTTTTTCTGTTGGTGTAATTAAAGTAACTATCAATACAGATTGTTACTTTAATTAAAAAAGAAATCAATATTTACCTCCAACTACAGCTGACGGCGCTGCTCAGTAGTCAGCGATTTTGTACCCTAATAAGATTCTATAGAAGATGTTTAAATTTTTGGCAAATTTCTAGAATCCTTACATGCTCACATGTCCTACAAAGCATTCTTATTGATTTGCATAGATCTGAACACAATCCTCCATAAGACACAAGAAAAGCAAGCAACCAAGAGAACATTAACCAAATGATAAAGGAGCTTTACAGGTAAAGGGGTACCAAAGGAACTACACGTTCCTGCTCAGCTGAAGGTGATGAGGTATTCTGGGTAGGCCTGGTCATCGTGGAAGACTATAAACATTGTTGGCTGCTGCTGGTTGTTCACCAAACTGTCGAAGCAGTCAGTGGGGTCTGCACCTCGGGGAGGGGGAGCTATCATGGAGGATTTGCCCAGTGTGTAACGGCCGGTGACAACACGAGCAACATACAGTCGCTTCATTCCTGATTGGTCTGGTGGAGAATAACCCTTGGCTGAGTATTCAGCATTAACTGCAAAGTAAACTCCTCTTCCGTATGCCGCAGCTGTAGGAAAAATGACAATGAAAAAAATTTTGAATAATTTAGAAACATTGCTTAAGTTGCCTTTCAGGCACTGGATTTTGGTGGAGGTTTAGTAGTTAATCATGGCTGACCATGTGCTCCAGCATAACTCCTGTCAAAGCGGTCTTTTTCAATACAGTTGCATGACTCCGCAGATGTGCCATGGTACAGAAACTTTTCACCGAGTTCTGCTTGGCCATTCTTGACCAGTATACGTTGCCGGGGTACGCGTTCCACAGGTACAGTTCTGCACACGTTCAATCTAAGACCACAAAAAAAGCCCCATTTATGATTGTTTTTCTATAAAGTTTAGATTTTTGTTGTTCTGAGTAGTAATATTAGCATGCTTACCTTATGAATCCTGTACTTGGCCGTTTGGAGGAAGCCATTTGCTACCTTTTGGTATTCATTGGAGTTTGGCGACAACTCCACTTTTTTAAAGATTTCGTCTTGCATAGGTTCCCAATGCGAAGGTAACTCCAAGGCTAAAGCACAAGTCACACAAAACAATGTTTAATTTATGCATAATTAAAAAGTGTTAAGCATATTGTGTCCAAAAAAAAAAAGAAGACAGAATCTATAAAAGCTTTCATATCGTACTTCCAGACTCTGTCCTTTTCAGTTTGTATGTTCTGCCAGTCATCCAGTCTGTGGCGTCTTGTGTCTTCATGTTTACTTTGAGAGCCTTGCCTTCAGGCATCTCCAGGGCCACACAGACTTTATTCTGTAAGAGAGCTTCCTCCAGCATGTAGTTTCCACTAAGGCTCAGCTCCTGCCATTCTCCATTGTCATCTTTCATTGCCCACTGGATGGTAAGAGCCAACATTGCCTCTTCCTTGTCTTTGAGGACTTCCTCAAGTACTTTCTGAACTGCTTTGTTTATTAACTCGGAGACACTCAAGACATCTTCCTTTAAACCTTTCAGGACATACTCTTCTTTTCTTTCTTTGGGTCCACCAGTATCTACTGTTTTGAGCTCTACGCTTATTCCCGTCAGTTTGACTTTCGCCTGCACTGCGTTCAGTTCCATAGGGTCTAGCTCAGCGACACTATGCACAGGCACTGTTCTCTCCACGAGCTCTTTCTGCACGATCAACTCCAACTCTTTCTTGACGATCTTGGCAACGTCTGAACCACAGCTGATTACTCGCAAAATCGTTGACTCGGGCTTCGAAGAGATGGTTTGGGCTTGTTTGGACGGGAATGTTGTCAGTCTAGAACACTTTCCCTGGAACTTTTTTAGTGTTTCTCTGGCTTTGTCTGCAGTCAGGAAAAGCAGAGCGTTAGCCTTCTTTTTAAACGCATTGTAATCAATCGGTCTATGGTATCAACAAAGCATGTTCCATTTTGGGCAATAGTTTTGCCTATTTTGAAGGGCTCTTTTGTCTTTATGCAAATTGATTATGTCTGCGTCTTGGCACATCACGGAATATATTTCATCTTTCACCACTTGTTTTAAAATCCCAATCTCGTGGTGTAACATATTGCAAATTCAATCGAGTAAATGCATTCAGTCTCATTAATCAGATGAACTCCGTTGAAGGACAACAGGTAAATTATTGTTCAAATGAAACAAGTCATCGATGCAAGCAAACCTTTGAGGCTGAGGTTGCTCCGAACAATCCGTCCAAAGCGACTCTCCAGCTCTGATCTGGAAGAACATTGACAAGAAGCTGAAACAAACGTTCTGACTAAGAGAACAAAACACAGCGATGACATCAGAGTCCACCTCTCACCTGAAATCCTGGAAAACCTGTTGTTGCAGGATGACGATGCGGATGACTGACAGAGAGGTAGGATTCATGTCCCTGATGGTTGAGGCCAAGCTGTCCAGCATCGCTGTAGCAGTATCTTTAGGACTCATTTTACCCTGTCCTACAAGGGTAAAGAGACAGTTCAACTGTAGACAAACATGTAGTTATTAGGCATTTTTCTGTTTATTTGCTTGCAGTGAAAGGCTTGTTGGTTGAAGCTATTATTTTGTTCATATAGCCTAAATCTAACATTTTCATCTGATGCTATACATTATTTAATAATTTAATGAAGCACAAACCAGTATTAACGGCTGGAAATGCCACTGAGCTGAATCCTTTGCTCTCGCAGAGCTTCAGGATCTTCTTGCAGTTCTTGCGGATCACATCAGAGTCTGATTTGAAGTCAGCATGGACGATTTCCTTACACCCAAGAAGTCCAGGTTGTGTTGTGCAGAAGAGGTCTTGAGGAATGCCCACTGAAAACACAAAAAGAACATTCAATTTAAGTTTGGCAAGTCCGGCAATAAAAAAAAATTGTAGTTTTAAATCATCTTATTCTCTCAAACATTGATTTCTTTCATTCAAACCTAAAACCCGAGACATATTCATCATGTTCACAAAGGTTTTACCTTTTGTTAATTCTCCAAGGACTGCCGGTCCTGCTGCTGCCAAAATGGCATGACAGACCCCTGTTGGGAAAATTATAGTAATGGCAGTATAAATTTAAGACAAAAACTTGGTTTTCTTTCTAAATATCCAGGCCGACATTCACATCATACCAGACTGATAATGACTGAAGTCAGTTGTGTTGACGATCACATCAGTTCCTGCGGCTACAATGTCACCGTGGATGATCTGTAACTTGACTGCGCCCATCATGGCCGTGGCCTCATCCTTACTCATGGAGACATGTCGGTAAAAGGAAGCTTAAAAAAAAGCAATAATAAAACAACATATAAATCTGATTTAATATTTTTATTAAATTATATATTCTGTTGATATTAAGCTTGCTAAGTGCGCAGGAATGGGAGGTTTCAGCAACATTTGGAACAATGTCACGATGTTATTTTGATATCAAAATATTTTTTATTTATTTATTTTTTTTAGAGAAGTACACTATTTAGGGTCCATTTAACCCTATAAATGTTGCTTTAGCATGCTGTTTCACTTTGTAAGACATTGTTGATCTTTTGTTCTGTCTCTGATATTCTAGTAAACTTTAAAATATTAAACAACTGATGCTCTAATTCTCAAAAAATGTCATCAAAGGCAAACTGCAGAGATAATAAGGGTGCTACATTCAGTGGTATGTCAGTTTCTGAGGTCAAGGCATTAAAGAGACTCATCATGAGATTATCCACAGGAACAAAGTAACAATACAAGTATAAATTGAAACATTTAAGTGAAAATGACAATTAGCTTTTAATCCACAAGGCTGATCCCCTAGGAAAGAGAACTTTCTGCAGAACAAACAGAAAGTAAAATGGCTAGCTTTCTTGCAATCAAAAAACTTCAAAGTTTTCACT